CCGTCCCGGAGCCCGGCCTTGGCGCCATCCCTTTGAAAACTGTGGGGAGAAAGTCGCTTCATTTTGGACAAGTTATTGCATTGTCATTACGGACCTCACGGGGCTCACGGGCGGGGCGGGGCGGGGCCGCCTGCTGCCGCTCGCTCACGACGCGCTCTCAAACAAATCACTGCCGCACCGCGGCCCCGCGGCCCGCGGTCCGCACAACGGCCAGCCCCCCGACAGTGTCCGGCTCGCAGGGCACCAACGCGCGCAAACTAAAACAATTAATCAAGGGTTCAGGTTTTGTAAACGGCGACCCGTTAAGAACATGAGGAAATCGAAATGACGTTGTTCTGTGTGCACTGCGGTGCAGTGCAGGCAAGTCGTCTCAGATTGGAGTTCGAAGTCGCCCCTCCGTGGTGAGCCCATCCTCGTGCTTCTCTGCCCGCACCGGGTCGCGTTCCCGCCGCGCGTTCCCCGGGGCACGTCCAGGACGTGTCGGCGGCGGCGCGGTCGGCGAGGCCCCGGCAGGTGCACGCTGGACGCGGCGACGAGGCGACGCGACGCGCTCCCACGGCGTGGCCGCGCTGGCCGCGCCGCCCGCGGTCGTGACTTTTCGGATGGCTCCGGCCGTCTCCGGCACTCCGGCACTCCGTCCGTTCTGGTCGTCGTCGGCGTGACCGCATCGCACCGCATCGCACCGCATCGCACCGCATCGCAGTGACCAGTCGACCAGTCGTGACCACAGCGGAGCCGAGCGGCCGAGCGGCCGAGGAGAACGAACGCGCTTCCAGGACCTTCCAGTGTCGACTGCGTGGCTCGCGTGGCTGGAGTCGCCGGCTGGAGGCTCCAGGGCCTGGATGTCCGGCAGTGTGCTGCCAGCCCATTCCGAACAGCGTGTCTCCCTCGCACCCTCACGGGGCGCCGCGCGAGTGCGAGGGAGACGGAGCGGCGAGCGAGCAGTGTGCAACAGCGTGCAGCAGGCACTAGTCAGAGCTCTCAAAATCGCTGTTGTAGACCGACCGACGAGGCCGAGACAGCGGTCTCTGGCCTCTGGCAGAGGCCGCAGCGCCTAGCTCGGTCGCGGCCTCAGAGGCCGACCGACGCGGTCTCCGTGCGGCCTGCAGAGGCCGCGGCGAGGCCTGCACAGGCCGCCTGCTAGTTAGCCAATCAGATTTGCGTACATCGCCGGAGCTGCCGGGACAACCCAGCGAGGTGGCGCCCTCAGACTGAGCGGTCAGTTCCGGCACTGCACGCCCTGACGGCTGGCGGTCTGCAGAGACCGCGCCGCGGCCTCGGCGGTCGGTCTCGGAGGCGATTTTTGAGAGCTCTGGCACTAGTTGGACGCGGCACGCGATCAGGATCACACCGTGATTATGCCGAGTGACGCGTCCGTCCGTTCGTCCGGCCGGCCGGCCATTTACGGATTGAGACGTCGAGTGACGTCACGTGTCGCGTGTCACGTGTGACGTCCGCGTGACGGCCGTGTCACGTTCGGCCATCGGCGCGGCCATTGTGATGCAACGTGTGCTGCATGTGCACGTGCACGCGACGCGGGGCTGCATAGTGGACTGGACGCGGCCGCCAAGTAACGGGGCTCCCAGTTAGTTTCCACGCCCTTCCAGGCCTTCCAAGGAAACCCATTCCAGAGGTGCTTCAACCTCACTGCAAGTTCAGCACTGTTTCCTTTTCCTCTTTTTTTGGCGTTGCCGTTTTGCGTCCGCAGCTCCGAATGATCGATTGGGCCGGAGGGAAAGGGACGAAGGCGTGCGTTTTGTTACGAGGGCCCGGCCGGCGTGCCGCGTCGCGGACCGAGTCGCGGACCGAGTCGCGGACCCAGCATTCGGGCCACTCCGGACTCCGGCGCCAAAACTATTCGTGAGGAAAATTGCCGCACTTACGTCTTCTTCTTGTCTTGGACTCGGCGAGGAGGACCCCCACCACACCCCGCCACGTCCGTGGGGAGGGGGAGGGGGGCCCTTTCGCCTCCGTGCCCTGCTCGAACCGCAGAGGTCTCCTCCAACAGGTTCCCAGCTGCCAGCGGCAGTGGCTCGGGCCTTGATGAAATTATCATACTTTGTTATTCTTGGTCGCCAAGGGCCAGTGCAGCAGCGGCTGCATTTCCAAGTCTTTCGAATTTGACCTTGGCGCGTGCGGTGGCAAGGACGCGTATCGGGAACCGCGTCGGCGGCCAGGTGCCAAAACAAAGCCGAAACACGCATTCCCGGTTCTGCACCGCGCGCCACCAGCACGGCGGTCTTTATCGCGTGTTGCCGCGATTCGCGTCAACAGGCGGCACCGCGACGCACCGCTACAAACAAGGTGGCTTATCGGTTTGCGAACAACGCCGCACCGAGGCAGCCGAGCCCGTGGGCACCGAGGCCCCGGACCCCTGGACCCTCGACGTCGAGGCCCTGGACACCGAGACCCTGGACACCGAGACCCTGATCCGGGACCTTATCGGACTCGCAAGCCCGGCTGCGGTAGCCTCCACGAGAGTGAGAGAGACAGCGAGGAAAGCACGGTTCGGAGTGGGTCGGATGGACGAGCCCGGCTGAGCGCGGCCGGCATTGTTTGAAGGAAATATCGCTCTCCTCTTCTCGGCGAGGCGGTGAAGCGACGAGGCGGCGGCGGCGGTTCGTTCGTGGTACTCAGAGACTCGGGTGGTACCCGAGCTTGTCTGTCGTCGCCGGCCGGGCCGTTAGTTGCGGGAGTGAAATAAAAACGAAATCGGCCAAATCCTGTCCTGGAGGAAAGGGGGAGGGGGCGGCAAAGCGAGCCTCGCGGTTACGACTAACGACGCGCTGCGCTCGCCGTTTAGGGCCCGTTCTTGCCCCGTCTTCCTTCCTCGAGCCTCCGGGCCGAGGCACTCCAAGGCACTCCGCCTCGTTGACGCCGCGCTGGAGTCCTCAAAGCCGCGCTGCGTGCTGCTCAGCTCGACGGCCTGATTCTGAGCTGTGCCTCGTTGCTCTGTCTCTCTCGCACGCCCATGCGAGCACACCTGACGAAGTTGTCGAAGCTTGCTCAAAAAGTGGTTGAATCTCAGGGAGTAGCGACTTTTGCCGACTTTGGACGTCTACTGCGTCCGATCTAGCTGTGATCAAAGGCCTTCCTCATCGTCCTGACCCTACTCTGTTACCCCGCCTCACGAATGCTTCAACCACAGCTAATTGTTCAAAATGCCACCAATATTTTCACCTGACTTTGTGACTTTGTTTAGACTGCCCGTGCGTCCAATATTTTTTTTTAGCAGATGATACCTTCACACTTGAAACATACTTAAAACTACTATACACATGAAGGTGTCAGCGTGCTTTTACTCTCGAGTTCAGAAACGAAGCGCGTATCCTAAACAATATAATAGAGGCTGGCTGCCGGGGCGGGCTTGTGCGTGTGGCTGGCTGGCAATGAGGCGCAGCCTGCGCGGAATTCGACGCTCGGGTCTGTATATTTAATTTAATTTCATACAGAATTTTAATTACTATATTTGAAATGAGCCCGCATACTACCCCGTATAAGAAAACCAAACGAGTATTAACCGAGAAATTTGAAAGGGAAAAGAAAAAAATTTGAACTCTACACCCCCTCCCCAGTCTTAATGGGGAGGCCTCCTGCTTTACTTCGGTGTTCGGGATGGGAACCGGTGCTATCAGGTACCTGGGGTTAATCCCGTCAGCGACCCTAAGCGTTCGCCGGGGGACCCAGTAGGACCCCAAAGCTCAGGCAGCTGGGTGAGAGCACCCAGTACGAAGCTCTTTGAGGGGCGGGACGTAGAGTGAGACGACAGAGAGACAGAGAGAGACTCAGACAGAGAAGAGGTTTGGTGGGAGCTTCTTGTTTTCGTAGGGTTGGTTGTGTACCCCATGGTACCCCCACTGTCCGGCGCTCCCGTACCGAACATACAGCGTTTTAGGCCAGCTTCAAAGGACTTATCATCGCCTCCCCGACGGATCAAGGAGGCACCACCCGCAACCACACACCGGGTGGTCTGGATTGATGGATCAAATACGCCATCGCTCCAGTGCCGAGGCCAACCCGCCGAAGCGGATTGCTTTTTAGACACCCACAGCGGAGTGGCCAGGTGAATGTGACTCTGACCACTACGCTATCACGCTTGTACGTCTGGCAGCGTGTTGGACGACGGGTTTGAGTTGCACTGGGAGGAAGGCGGTCGAAAAATGTAATGAAATGATGGGATTCGATCCCCGGACCCCGCCATCGGGATCACACGACCTTACGCTCTCGGCCACCACGGCCCATGATGAGGGGACCGGCGTGAGGTGGGTTCTTGACGCAACAGGACTCGACCGACCCGGTCAAAATTTCGCAAGAAGTTGGGGGAGTCGAACCGCCGACCCTAGCACTGGGAACCGACGCCTCTACTCCCTGGACCACCACGTTCCATGCTCGGAGTGGGCTCAAGTTCACGGATTTTAACCGCACTGGGTGAGGCAGTAAAATTAAATGGAAATATTTGTTAGGAGTCGAACCTCCGGCATGTGGGCCTGTTGCACACGGCTCCGCTCTGATGGCCTCGAACCACCACCCGTAGGATAGCAGGTCGAAAAAACTTTTGTGACGCTGGTATTCGAACGCTGGCCTGCGCTAACTCGATCCCACGTCTCTAACCACTCGGCTATCACAGCAGTTGTGAAACGCGACGGATCATCTGCTTTCATTGACGTTCGTTGAATGAGATTTTTTTTTTTTTTTCGAGATTTCGTTAAATCCTGCCGCAACTGTTTGCCACCCCATCGGTCACTAGTAACGTGCCTCTGCCCGGCTGCGCGCCGACAGGGCAGGCATCCCATTCGGCTCGGCTCGCGCGTGGCAGGCGAGGCGGCAGGCGAGGCGGCAGGCGAGGCAACGCCGGGCAGGTGGGCCTCCCTCCTGGCGGGCAGCGCCTAGCAGCGCCGGGCAGGCAGGCCACACTTCGGGCAGGACGGCGCTGTGGGTGAAGGGCCTTGTCGGCGCGAGTTGAAGTCAGAGTCTCTAACCCTGCCATGATTTTGTTGCAGGTCCTACGCGTGCTGTCCTTCTCCTACAAGTCCAAGGCGGACGCCTTCGGAGACTCCAACGGCCCCGGCGTGTTCCGTCGCCTCTCCGACGACGTGGGTGCCGTGGCCGCGACGCCGCGGCCCTCGCGACCCTCGCAGCACGCCGCGTCCCCCGGCAACACGTTCCTGGCTCCCTTCGCCAGCTCCACGCCGAAGCAGCCGGCGGGACTGGCGCGGACGGCCAGCACCGCGTCGGCGCTCCCCAAGCACCCCAAGCACCAGGACGGCGTCTTGGCGTCGGCGCGCAGGCCGGGCGTCGGCGGCGCGGCGGCCGTGTCCAGGAGCAAGTCCGCCGTGACGCCCAGCGCGTCGGGACGACCCCTTCGCTGGCATCACGGCGCCGCCGCTAGCGCGCCGAGCGGCGAGATGCGGAACCTGGACGCGCCGGTCGGCGCCACCGTGGTGGTGCTGCAGTCTGGCGGCGACGCCGTGAACTACGAATCCGCCGCCGCGAGGGCGCGGGCGGCGGAGGGGCGTCGCGGTGCGGGTGCAATCACAGCAACGGGCAGCGCATTGCAGTCGCTGTCAGAGCCGGCCGAGACGGCGCCTGGCGTCGCGGACGTGGACGGACACCGCGTGGACGCGCACCGCGTGGACGCGCGCACCGAGCACCGCGACTCCCCCGACGCCGTGGACGCGCTCAGCCTGGCGGACGGTTCGGCCTGCTCCTCCGTGGCCGGCACGTCGTCCTCGCTGGGGGCGGGGGCCTCGGCGGCGGGGCTGACCCTGCACCGGGGAGGCGGCAGCAGCGCCGGCAGTGGCGGCGGCGGCGGCAGTGTGGGTGGCAGCGGCTGGAGCCAGCCCCGCACCCCCATGGGCTCCACGACGCAGCTCATCCAGGGCAAGGCCCGCCCGCACTCCACGGTGAGTACTGCACGCCGTGAGCGTCATCTTCGCCCTCATTCAGAGTATCCCTTTTGTCCGCACCCTGTGCCATGCCACAGCGAGTATGACATGCGCTATGACGTCACCGATTCCTTGGTGGCGTTTCGCATTCGAAAGGAATGACTTTTAATGCACGGCCGTCCTTTGTGCTTTGACGGGCAGGGCCCCCCCCTTGGCAGTGCCTTGCCTTAGCAGTGCCCTGCCTCCGCCTTGCCTCCGCCGTGGTCACGTCAGCCACGTGCGCGGCCGTTGCTGCAGGCTCTAGCTCTAACAGGTGGTGCCCCTGCGTCCCTGCGTCCCTGCGCCCCTGCCCTAGCCCTGGCCGCTCCTAGAGCCGCTCCTAGCGGCATGTGCGCGCGGGTCCGCTGCCTCTGCTGCTGCCTCTGCTACTTGCGCGCTCTAGCGTTCAGCTCACAGTGTGGTGTGGTGGACTCGCCAACGCGGCTTGCCAGTGCTGCCGGCGTCCGCCATGTGAGCCACTTGCATGGACCGCTCTGGGGCCGGCCGCCGCGCCCTGGCCCTGGACGTCTTCGACGGCGTCCTCGAGCCGCGCGCGCAGCGCCCGCAGCGCCCTCACCGGCAGCAGCATCGGCGGCCGCCACCGGGGGCGACCGTGATCCAGGACGTGCACGTCCGCGTGCACGGCCGTCTGGACCTGCGCGCCGACATCCAGAGCGTGAGCTACGTGGAGCGGTGGCAGTGGAGCAGGGACGCCGCCTACCAGCGATCGCGCCGCCGCCCGGGGCGCGTGCTGCAGCAGCGGGACTCGCGCACGGTAATGCACGTCAATCAACCCGTGATCCTCCACCCTCGCCAGGCCGCCCTGCCGCCCTGCCCCAAGCCGCGCCGCGTTGGCTGGCGGTGCTGGCGGTGCTGGCACGCAGTCGCGATTGCGTTCCACTTCCGGCACATGTTCTTCTTAACGATCGCGCGCGTTGGACTGTTGGACGCCAGCGCAGCGCCTTGCCACGTGTCCCCACACCACGCCGTATCCGCGTTGCGGCAAACTGCAGGCGGCAGGGCCCGGGCCCGGCAGGGCCAGGGTGGCAATAAAATCGCGTCATTTGGACCGAGCTCGTATCGTATCGCTTCCGAAACTGGCCCGGTCTCCGCGGCCCGGTTGCGTCGGCGGGCTTCCTTTACACTCCGCGAGGGAGGTTCTCTGAGGAAGGCGAGGTTTCTTGCTTTTCCGACGGGTCTTTCGTCGTTCTGGCCTCTCTCGCTTCCAAGGTGCGTGCGCAGGGCGCCAGCGCGAGAGAGACAGAGCCGCGAACCACCGTTCGGGATCGGTCTGCAGCAGTCGTGTGGTTTCGTTGCGTTGTTTTTTCGTCCGCGCACTGGGCGCCGCCGGTGCCCCGTTGTTGGTGTGCCGGTCCGGTGCGCCCGGCCGGCAGCGCCACTGGCAGCGCCGGCAGCACGTTAGGATGTTCCAGTTGGCCCGGCACTGCCCTTCGCTGGAGGCGAGAGGCGCCGCTGGAGTCTTGGGGTGGCGGGGCCACTGGCGGGGCCACTGGCGGGGCCACTGGCGGGGCCACTGGCGGGGCCACTGGCGGGGCCACTGGCGGGGCCACTGGCGGGGCCACTGGCGGGGCCACTGCGGGGCCCCTGGCGGGGCCACTGGCGGGGCCACTGGCGGGGCCACTGGCGGGGCCACTGGCGGGGCCACTGGCGGGGCCACTGGCGGGGCCACTGGCGGGGCCGACTGGCGGGGCCACTGGCGGGGCCACTGGCGGGGCCACTGGCGGGGCCACTGGCGGGGCCAACTGGCGGGCCACTGGCGGGGCCTACTGGCGGGGCCACTGGCGGGGCCACTGGCGGGGGCCACTGGCGGGGCCACTGGCGGGGCCACTGGCGGGGCCACTGGCGGGGCCACTGGCGGGGCCACTGGCGGGGCCACTGGCGGGGCCACTGGCGGGGCCACTGGCGGGGCCACTGGCGGGGCCACTGGCGGGGCCACTGGCGGGGCCACTGGCGGGGCCACTGGCGGGCCACTGGCGGGGCCACTGGCGGGGCCACTGGCGGGGCCACTGGCGGGGCCACTGGCGGGGCCACTGGCGGGGCCACTGGCGGGGCCACTGGCGGGGCCACTGGCGGGGCCACTGGCGGGGCCAGGGGCCGGGCGCGGCGTTGCATCAGGGAGTGAGTGACCTTCGCTCCCGCCTTGGACCTCGCCTCGCCACCTCGCGCTGCCGCTGCAGTTGTGACGCCGTCATCGCGTACACGTCCCGGCCAGCCTCGTTACTCCAGCGAGCTCCAGCAAGCTCCAGCAAAACGCTGTGCAATCGAGAGGGCCGCGGAGAAAAATGCCGCCCAGCCGCCTTAATGGCTCGGCTGGGCTGCAGTCCGGCGGCGGGCGGGGGCGGCGTTGCAGTCGCTGGAGTCGCTGGAATTCCAGGGGTGTGCTCCCGCTCCCGCCGATGGCGTGTTTTCCAGTGGCGTGCTGCTACGTTTTGACCAACTTTGCTGCGCCACTGCTCCCAAACGAGCGTTGACAATCGCAAACCCGAGGCAAGGGATCAACGAGGAAGGCCTTAAGACCACCCGCACTATTAGGCAGCAAGCGTTTGGACGCTGCGGTCGCCCAAAGTAAGCCCAAAATCCGATTTTCGTCCATTGGTCTACATTTGGACCAACTTTTCGGCGCCACTGCTGGTCCGTGGTGTCCAGCCCCGGCCTCGGCGTCCCGTCCCGCGGCGCTAATGGGTGCAGTCACAGCCCAGTCATTACGCCCCGATCGCCCGACCGCGCCCGGCGGGCTGCTGCCACACTGCCCGCTGGCCGCGCTGGCCGCGCTGCACGGGGAAGCGGGGAGCGTCCGCCGATTTTTTCGTGCCGGTGTCGCTGGTCGTTCGCTCTCGGCGTTGCGTCACAAAGGGGGAGTGTCCTCGTTCGCGGGATGGACACCGATTGCTTCCTTTTCTTCTCTTTTTTCTTCGGAAGCAGATTCACGGCAGCCTCATTCCGAAAGAGCGGGGACGGGTCAGCGCGCTGCTGCAGGCTGCAGGCACCACCAGCTCGCGGCTATGACTACGGCTGGCTGGGCCACACACGACGGCCGGTTCGCGTAACCGCCCTGTAACCGCGGCACGGCGGCGTACCGCACGCTCACTCCGAGCAGTGCTTTCGGCGCTGTCTCTCTCGCACTCGTGCCGCGCCGCGCAGGGGTGCGAGGGAGACAGAGCGCGCATTATCGGCGGCATCGTCGTCCGGTCGGTCCTGTGTCGCCGCGCCGCTTAGCATACGGCCGCTATCGCCGATTTCCAATCAAAAACGGCAACGCGCTTTGCCGCTTCGCAAGCGTGCTGCCGTCTGTGTCGTGATGGAAGCCAACAACGGGACGGGGAACAACGCCCGCGGCGGGCGCGGCGGGGCTCTTCAGGTGCAGCGGGTCATGCACGTGAAGGAAACGGTAAATAATTGTTGCACGACGTTGTCGCGGACGGCCACGCGGACGGCACGGTCGGCAAGACAACGCCGCGACGTGCTCCACGTGCTGCTCCGCGGTTTTTATTATTTCCAAATCGAGGACGGCGCGGCGGGGGAGGCGGCCACGTCGGCTGGCCGGGGAGAACAACCGCAAACACAAACACACTCATTCGCAGATTTACACACAGCCACACCGGCGGCTTCCTGCGCTTTCGTCCCCCTGCAGGCGATGCAAGCTCTGCGAGTGGCGGGGGCGTGCGGCTGACCACCGTCACTGCAATGCGCTGGATCGGGCCGCGCGCCGCCATGGCGCCGCCGTCCTGGAGGCCTGGATGCTTGGGGGCCTGGCCGCGTTGCGGGTACCTGTTGGTTGGCTCCAGAGAGGACGGAACAGAGAGGTATAACTCCCATGCTAAGCCGCTCCGCCAATTTCGTCGGGCCCGGCGGACGGTCGCGCGACAGTAGCGCACCTGGCGGTGCGGTCGCGCGCTTTTTGGCTGGAGCTCGACACGGCCCGGTCGGCCCGGGCCGCGCCGTTCGTTTGAATGCGCGGTCGCGCCGCCTGGCGGCCGGGCGGCTGGCCCGGTACCCAGGTTTTTGGATTGAATTGTGGTTAATCCTGGCCAATTATTTTGGTTTTGGTGTTTGAGATGCATAATGGGCTGCTTCGAGTGCCAATTGGTGTTGTTTTCGGATCACTATTGCTCTTTTCCACTGTTCTACAGCAATGAGAAAATAGCTTGTTGGCTTACTCCACGCCTTTTTTTTTTTTGGGGGGGGGGGAAGGCTTGTGGAATGAAAATGAAATTTTCAAACTAAATGCATGTTTAATGAAAACAATTGTCACAGATACATCACAAATCAATAACCGATAATATTAAGTCAAAATTTTAAATTAAATACTACATGTAAATGAAAACATTTATCACAGATTACATCACAGATCAATAATTGAAAATCTTCAGTCACAAGTTAAACGGAAGGATCAGTTGGGAAGCCTGCCAAACACATCATCAATCTGAAAAGAAAGAAGAGACAGAAATTAGCAAAGAGACGATGGGGGAAAGGAAGAGCCAGTGAGAAAACTAAGTCGATAATGGAACGTACCACTTAGCGCAGATTGGTGGTCGGAATAGATTCAACAGCCTCCAGTAACACCTACATCCCCTTGGAGTAATGGAATGTGAAGTCATCACCCCAAGCCTCAACAAGAGTCATCTGGAACAAAAGATACAAAAATATTAAGTATATTGTAAAGTTCTAAAAATACTTGTGACAGGAAGTTCATTGTGTGGCTAAAATTTAACCATTAATAGATGAATTCAATCCCTGAGTTGAAGGCCCCAGCTCATATTGGTCTTTGTGATATGGAGCTTTACGCAAACTTTTAATCGATTCTCCCAAATTCTCCCTGTGACAAATGAAAAGGTACCCAGTTTGCAGATTCTGGCATTTGAACTTTTACAGAGAAAGGAAAAAGATTAGGAAATATAAGCCCAGTAAGGGGTGTAAAAGCTACTTTACTACTCTTGGTTTAATTTTTATTCAAATTTGAGATATTTTTGCCACATTTTGTTCTTATGTGTTATTTTTTCAGGAAAACAAAGGAAGGTATTAAAAAAGGGAAAGCACCATCTTTATCTAATACTAAAAGAGATATAAAGGCTACAATTTGAAGGCTGGGCACCATTTTCTGTGTTGTGAGGAGAATTTGGGGGGAATCGACCAAAAGTTAACGTAAACATCCATAACTCAGAAACTAAAACTAGGTGGGGCCCCACTCTTTGTAAATGAGTTAATGCAATAGAAAGCAACTTTTACCCACAAATTGATATATCTGGGAAATGTATTTAAAAAGTGAAGTGATTACTTTTTTCACTTGAGCAAAACAAGAGACCAACAGGGCAAGGAGTGCAGGTTATGAGTATAGGCCACTCGGCCGCAAAGTCACTTGAGGCCGCTGCACACTTCGAAAAACTTACTATGATTATAGATAATGCATTGAGGAGGGACTATATAAGATAGAGAAAACTCCACGGAATTGAAAAACTCAAAACATATCACAAAATGTTAAGTACAAAATGGACGCCATCACTCGGCAAAGCCGGCTGCCAAGGCCTGTTTCGGCAATCGCCGAATTTCATTACATAAACGAGTTAACGGGGGCGCCGAGGAATGGAGAGGGATTCGCAGTACAGCAGTTTCAAAAAGGGAAACTAAGGACTAAATTCAAAAGACTTAAAATACTTACCGCAGCAAAAATAAAGACAAGTCCAACGACGAACACAACACCAACGAACTTCACACACGACACGAGCGCGCTACTGCTGCAACAAAGTGGCGGTCGGCTCGGAGCCGAAGCCTCTTCGGGAGGCCCCGAGCAGGGCTGGCTCAACGAATATCAAAATAATATTTCATACACCTTTATTTTTATTAAACGAACGTTCAATCTTTTATCCCTGTTTTGCCAAATGTAATAGCTATTAAGAGATTTTGAAAATGATTGCGTGTCGGGCAAAAGGCGCCAACAGAAATGAAGTTTTTTGTGTCGTAGGTTGGCTACCGTGTTAGGTCGCGCGCCCCGCGAGGTTCGGAAATTGGCGGAGCGGGCCCTATCCCAGTTATACCTCTCTGTTCCGTCCTCTCTGGTTGGCTCCTGCAGGGGACACACCTGCCGCTTGCTGCCGCGCAGCGCGAAGCGATTTAGTTTCAAATTTAATTAATCGCGGCGGCCGGCGCGTCGACGGCCTGGTGCTGGTGCCCGGTGCGTCGCCGGGCCGTCGTCGCCGCGCGCGTTGTATCACGAACGAACGGGGTCGCGATTAATCGCCGCGCTGGACGGCAGTCTCTCTCGCACTCATAGGGCGTGCCGCGGGTGTGCGAGAGAGACGGCGCAACAAATGCGTCTTCGACCGGGCGATCTCCGGGATTCGTCGCGCGGAGGGAGAGGCCGACCGCCGCCGGGGTCAGGTTCATTCGGCCGGGTGCTGGGTCGCTGTCCGCCCGGGGCGAGGCCTGGGGCCAATGGGTCACCGGGCGCCGCCAGCGCACGCACGCCGTCGGCGACGCCCGGCGCAGCGCACTTCAGACCTGGGGGCGTCACTTCCGGACCGTGGTGGCGTTTCCGGTGTAGTGGGCTGTAGTGCCGCGGCGGGTGAAGAGGGCATTCCGGCGCTAATCGCCTTGCTCTGGCTCTGGCTGCTGCAGGGAACTAACGACTGCCGCGGGGCGGAGCCAGAGCGGAATCCGCGTTCCGAGCCAAGTGACTTCGACTTTGATGTTTGGTTTCTTTTTCTCGCCGTGCCATTGTCACTGCGCGGGGGTGAAACCTCCCCGCGGGCTGCCCTGCTGTGCTGCTGTGCCCCCGGCCGTCGCCCCGCGCCGTCGCCGCGCCGCCTCGCCAGTGGCGGTCACCACCGGCTCGTTTTCTCTTTCGCTTGGAAATGGGCAAAATTGTTCGCTTCGAGCCTCGAGCCTTGCAGCCGTGCAGCTACCGCGTCGTCCTTTACGAGCCGCGAGCGGCGATCCCCGCGGCAGCGCGGCAGCAGCCCGTCTCTCTCGCACCACCGGACGGCCCGTGAGTGCGAGAGAGACAGAGCGACCAGGCGGGTGCCGGCGTCGCGTCCTGTGACAGGACTCCGGCCTGCCGACTGCTGTCGTCGCGGACACTCTCAAATCAGCGAGGGCGCCGTCAATCCCGGCCGGGCTGTCGCGGGGCTGTCGCTGTCAGGCGCGGCGTCTGGCGCGGCGCGTCCGTGACCGAGGCGAAGATCCCCGCGAGCCTGGCCGGCCGCCTCTCGGCCTGCCTTGTGCGGAAGGGAAAAGGAATCCCCGTAAGCAAAAACAAACACATCCTTCAGCGAGCGGCGCGTTGCAGCGCAGTGGCTGCCGACGACATGCACGCGCCGAGCGCCGCCGCCGCCTCGCCCGCCGTCACTCTTTCTCTCTTTCTGCTTCTGTTTTTCTCTATCTGAGTCTTTTTTGGGGGAGGGGGAAGTCCAACGTCCGTGTGGCGCTTTGATGCCGCGGCGCTTTGACGAGCACAACGCGGGGAAAGGTGCCCCTCTAGGTGTGAACTCGTCCCTGTCCGGCCGGCCGGGGAGGCCGCGACCTGCACCAGGTTCGACTGCGGTGTCACTCTCGATTCCACTTTCCCAGTCGTTCGGTGCCGTTTGCCGTTCGGCGGCGTCCTCGCCGTCCGCGCCGTCCTGGCGCGGTGCTGGGGCTTGGACGCGGTGGAGGCATGGTGGAGGGGCGGCGGCGATGTCCACACGACGCGGAGAAGGAAAAACGAAACGCCGCATCGGCGCAGCCTCAACAGCCTAGCGTCAACCCAGTGACCCACAGGGCAGGCCCACGGCTGCAGCCAGGCCGTCCGCGGTCCGCGGCACGTGCACCTGCCGGGGAGGGAGGACGGAGCGGCCGAGCGGTGACACGCTGCGACTCGGCGACTCCCGTCCCGGCCGCGGAGGCAGCGGCGGCGACGCGCTGTGGCGGCGGTGGTTCTTCCGGATGTCCGCGCCTATGTGTGCGAGTGAGTGAGTGTGTGAGCGTGGAGGGGGCCGGTCAGCTCGACCCCGCGGGGCTCCGCGACCCGTCCTGCCCCGACGGGGCCCGACCCGTCCGAAGCCGAATCGCGGAGAGACGCGGAGAGGCCCCGGCGCTGCGGCAGGCCGCTGCAGTCACTCCAGTCCGGTCCAGCCGTGGGTCCAGTCTGGACCTTCCAGTCTTCCAGTCGCGGTCGTTCAGTCTGGTCAGCCGCGGAGCCGCGTCGGGACTCGGGAGGTGCTCGCGCGGGTGTGAGTGTGTGTGCTCGGCGTGTGTGCGCGCGCGTGGGAGGGGGCGCGGAGCCCGGGCGTCGCTGCACCGCAACGGCGCAGAAGGGCGACATGCGCCGCGGCGGCCGGTGAAGATCCTCGTGTGCAGCTCGGCGTGCTCGGCGTGGGCGCACTGGCGTGCGTGGTGGAGTGAGTGCGTGTGTGTCCTCATCTCGCAAGCCGCCGGGACCAGCCCAGCGCTCCCCATGCACCAAGCAGCGGCGTGGACATGTGGTTCATGACGAGCAGCAACGGGTCCTACGACCCCCAGCTCATGACCAAGCTGCACGACAGCGTGGCCGCCAGGCCCGGCGGCAGCTCGGCGCCGCACCCTGGCCGGGCCTTCCCCCCTGCAGGACACCCGCCAGGGTACGCCATCATGAGTGTCGCCGCCCCCGGGCCGCCCCCCGGGCCGCCCCCCGGGTACGCCAGGCACTTGTCTCCGGGTCGGCCGCCGACGTTCTTCCTCGGCCACCCTCCCGGCTACCCCCAGGGGACTCCCCCGCCGGGCTACACCGCGGGGCCGCCCGAGTTCGTGATGGTCCATCCAGCCGCCGGGAAGCAGGCCACCGCAGCGGGGGCCGCTCCGGTGGCGACCAGGATGCAGCAGTACGACCACAATTGCTTCAAGAGCGCGCTCCACCACAACAAGCGGTCCGGGCGTCGCCGCGGCTCGCCCTGCCGGTGCCCGAAGCGCGCGGCGACGCAGGACCAGGGCAGGGCGGAGAAGGCGTCGAAGAGCAAGCCGGCGGCGCCACACCAGTCACACCAGCCGCAGACGCCGAAGCAGAAGCAGCGCCAGAGAGAGCCCTGCGTGCACCAGGCCCTGGCCCCGGCGTGCGCACACCGCCAGAAGGCCCGGCCGCCGCAGGTGCCCCCGAAGGGCGACCCGCCCAGGGTGTACCACATGTACCGCAGCGTGAGCGCGGACCGCGCCCGCGACGTGCTCACGTGCCACCGGGACGACGGGCTGCCCCCCGAGGGCTGGCGGTCGTACGAAACGCTGCGGCGGCGCGCCGTGTGCCGCGACACCCAGGACACCCGCGACGTGGCGCACGTCAAGCAGGCCCTGGAGCACGCGCTGGTGCGCAGCTTCCAGCCGCACGGCCACGGCGCCGCGCCCTGGTACGAGAACATGGCCTGGCACGGCCCCACGCGCCCGGGGCCCCCGCGCCGCGACGGCCCGCCCGCCAGCAGCAGCCTGCGCGACGTGACGGCGCCCGGCGGCGAAATGCTGCAGCGCAGCTTCCGACGCGTGCGCGACGAGAACATCTACAGCAGCCTGCGCGACGTGCACGCCGAGTGGCCGCTGGAGAACTCGCTGCAGAGGCAGTTCAAGAGCGCCAAGCCGTTCCGACCCACGTCGGCGGAGAACGTCCTGCACCGCAGTCTCAAGGACCTACAGGCCGCGCTGCCGCCCCAGCACGGCTCGCAGATCGGTCACGTGCTGCACCGCAGCCTCAAGGACTTGAAGCACGGCCAGCACCACGGTCACGTCCTGCGACACAGCCTCAAGGACCTGCAGCAGAGGCCTCCCCGCGGCCCCCACGGCCCGCACCCCGGACTGCACCGCGGGCACTCGGCCAGCCAGGACGCCGTGCAGGCGCCGCTCTGGAGCTTCCGGCCCGAGCCCGTGTACAGCAGCCTGGACAACGTGCGCCTGGAGGTGGCGCTGACCCACGGCGCCAAGGGCCCCAAGGGCACCACCCCCGCGCTGGGCCGCGTGCCGCCGCCGCCCATCGCGCTGCGCAGGGACGACTCGTGGCGCAGCCACCGCGGCGACCGACGCACCCTGCTGCTCGGGCCCACCCCCGCGCCGCGCCGCAGCCTCACGCCCTGCCCCGCCTCCGGGAAGACAACGCCGGCCTCGCGCGTGGCCTCCACCGCGGCGGCCTCCACCGTGGCGGCTGGGGCCGCCTGCACGCAGCCCCGCGTCGCCAAGCAGCAGTCGCTGCCGCTGCCGCCCCCGCCCGAGAGGACGCAGCCGCTGTGCCTCAGGCCGCACGCCTTCGGACCGGCAGGCGCCCCGCGGCGCAAGGGCAAGAAGACCAAGTACCAGCACCTGGTGGATGACAACAACAACAACAACAACAACCCTACCGGCGGCGACGCGGTGGTCGTCGTCCAGCCCGGCGAGAAGACGCCGTTCGCCGTGGAGGTGGAGGCGGCCGCGGCGCTGGCGCAGGGCCTGTGCCCGGGCTGCGGCCAGCCGCCCGACGTGCACGTGCCGCCCTGGGCCGTCGCGTCCCGACCGGTGCGTAACCATCACGTCAACAGCGGACTCGCGTCTATTTCAAATGTTGGCACCCGCGCCGCGTCGCTGCGGATGGAGACGGCGACGCCCGCCGCCAGCCGCGTGACGTGCGTGGCGCGACTTGACTTGCCGGTGAAAGTATCGCTAAGGTCGCTAATCGTCCGTCCCGTCGGCTAGTTTAGGCAGGGATCGCCATGATGAGGCGGTCGAGCGTCGCGGCGTCCTCGGCCACGGCGTCCTCGGCCACGGCGTCCTCGTCCCGCCCGCGGTAATGAGAGCGTGCGCCACCCGCCTCGCCGCGTGTGTGGCGCCCCGTCCGCCCCGCCCCGCCTCGATGACGGGCGTCACGTTATTGCGGGCAATTAGGCCTCGTTCCTCGTCGGCCGCACTTTAATCGGCCGGCGAAAAAATGTGGCCGCGGGGATTTGAACCCGCAACCCGCCGCCAGCCGGCGCGGCGTGTATGGCTCAGGGACAGGAAGGGCTTCGCTGCTTCGCTGCTCCGCCTTGCCGGGGAAATGGCGACCGCTCCTTTCTCTATCCGTCGTACTTTTGACCTCGTTAGTGTCGTTAG